CGCCCAAAGTTCTTCACTTGCGAGTGATCCACTTCCTTTGTCTCCTCCCCCGACTTCTCCCCTTTATCTCGATTTTGTTTCTTTCCCCCTTTTAAACAAATCAGCAACAACCAACGAACCACACAGCTCTGTAAATGGGCACCTTTGGCTGTTTGCGAAGAATTCCCCAAACTAGTCCGGACTGGGCCCAGGAGATCGGCTGAGAGGGCTTGGAGACGACCCAGGAGAAGAGATATCCTCCCCCCCCCCCACCACCACCACCACCCTGACCGGGGTCAGAGGCGCACGCTAAAACTCAAACACTGAACTGGCGGGCGGCCAACCCTCCAGTGACGCTGAGATAGCCATAGCTGGGCTAGGGGCGCCTCCGCCACACAGGTGACAGTCCGAGGTGGCTCCGCGAGGACAGAGAAGGTGGTGGCGGCCAGCAGACGGCGATCGCGGCCCGTGCCGCGGCAGGGTCCACACTGACAGGCCTAGGGGCGTCGCGGTGCCCTCCATTCCTGTTGCAGGTCCCGGGATGGAGTCACAACCTCCGTGCCCGCCCCTCTCGGATTTGCTCTCCTCCCACGCGGCCTGTAATCTGCGCCTCCTGTCGGTAGAGGTGACCTCTGAGGGCCTTTTCCAACTTGCAGTGTTATTTTCCCTCTCCCGAGTTTACTTTGGGGCCTCTTCCTAAACATTACTATCTCCCTCCACAGTCCAGCCTAGAAACTGCCGGCTCGCTAGAGGTCTCCAACTATTCTCTCAGCCTTTAGAGGGTACATCAGAGCAGAGCCTGGAAGTCTTTGCCCCTGGCAGTTACCAGTAGTCACCTCCTCATGTCCTCTGTCCAAGTGCCCCATCAACCTTTAGACAATCTTGTTTTGAGCACGATCAGGGGATTGTCACCAGAGCAGACAGTCTGGACCTCCCATTGAATAATTTCTAGTCTTGCACGGTTCCCAAGAACCTCAGCCTACCCAACCTGTTTGAAGCTTGAGACTAACGTTGAGCATAGAAATCCACATATAGATGTCTGAGACCCAATCCTCCAAAGAAGGGAACAAGGGGTTCTGTCCACAGGGGCTCTCTGTGAGTCAAAGATTTCTCAAGAGCACAAAGGTGTGTGGAAAGTACTGGTTATTCTATGCCAGGGGTTCAAGTTTAAAACCCAGGTGTTTAAAATTCAGGACTTGGTTTATTTGAAAGTCAGGGTTTTTGTGCAAAAGCTTAAACATACCATTTCTATATATACACCCTTTCATAGTTCATCTATGTTCATTTACATATACAGGCACAGACACATATACTACATGCATGCATCATTTCCTCTAGCATGGGTTGACATGAATTTTCGGAGGATTGTAACCACTGGTTGGATTAAAAACTTAGCCACTTTTCTAAGTCGGTCTTTGGCATTTTGAGCAATGGCACAGTGAAATTTCTGAGTTGCTGAGAAAGTAAAATTGGTCAGTCATCAGTGAAACTAATCCTTGCCTTGGATTCTGGGCTTTCTCTAGTGTTACTTGTACATAGTATAGTCAGTCTTCAAATCCTCAAGGATATAGTTTGTAGGCTGGCATTAGGCTGGTGGACTGGGAGGCAGCCCCACCAAGCTGGTCGGGAGAATGGGAAGCAGACAAAAATATCTATCAAACTGGTTTTAGTCTTTTTTTTTTTTTTTTTTTTTTTTGTAAAAAGAGCCATTGGGGAAAGTGAGCATAGAAGACACAAGGAGCAGAAGCTTCCAGGAGTTGTCACTGACAGGAGTTGCAAAGCTTCTCACTGCTCATGCCAGGATGGAAAGCACAAGGAGGTCTGGCACACCATGCCCACCACCGCTTAGTTGGCACAGGCTGCTGCTGCCAATCTTCTGTCACTTGGCAACAAGTTACACCTGCATCTCTGATTTCCTACTTCTGCAGGTGGGCACCCATAGGGTTTTTACTGGCTTGGGCTGGCAACAGTTTATTACTAAACGGGGCTTCTGAAGTGCGGTGCCCTGAGTGACAAGCACCAACATGGTTGCCTGCGATGTGACGCCATTTACCTCCTATTTAGATGTTCTGGGAAACAAGGGTAACATCCCATTTGGAAACAATGTTCAGGGCTTGGTAGAAAGAAATGAGACCATTTCAAAGTCATCTATCCAAGTTCCCCAAAGCATAAAGCATTCCTGCAAAGCTCACTGGAGTGCAGGGTGTTTATAAAATAAATTGCCCCATTGATATGGAAAATAATGTGCCAAGCTTGATTCATACAAAGCATTTTCAGGGGGTCTCTGGCTATTTAGTTTAAAATCTAAATTGAAAAGCACAGGAAAGAAATCTTTCAATTGCTAAGTGGATAATATAGTTTATAATTTGTAAACCGTTTCTTTTATTTCAGTCTTGTTGACTTCCCCTAACACAGTGGATCTCTCTGCACACCCATCGCCTCCTAGATTATCAAAGGAAAATGGCTCTAGCAAATTCTTAAACAATATTCCTGTTCGTTTTGTTCATTTACAATGTAACTGATATTTGTAGGGAGTTCATGAAACAAATCAAAAGGTTTAATAAACTTGATTGCTGAAATAAGAAAGTAGCTGAAAAAATAGTCTATAACCTAGATGCTTATAAAAATATGAAACAATGTTTCTAGCATAATTCTATATTATTTGATGAGTTTACTAGTAAGTACTGGATGGCCTGAAATGAAAGCTCAGTCGGCTTTGCTGTTGCACTGTGCTATAACAACCTGGGATTAAAATAAAATAAAAAATAAACATATGTAATAATCATAGCAAGGGAGCAGTGGGGTCGGGAAATTCACAGCCTCAGCTATTTTTTGTTAACAGAAAAAAGAACAGTCACCTGTTCAGTGCCCAATATATTGGAACACCCTTATTCTTGCCATTATCCTTTATCTCTGCCATAGAAGAGCCTTTGGATTACACACCGGGAAGTCTGCAGGCCAGCAGACCAGCCTAGCCCAACAGCAATCTCTGGAGGCACCTCTGTTCCCACCCCACCCCGCCCCAGGACTGCGGAAGAACTTCTGCACTCTAAGGGCCTTTCTGGAAGAAGCTTTTAAATCAAATCTCCATCTTTCTCTTGGAAATGGCAGTCTGAGGTTAGGTTGAAAATCTCTTGAACACCCCAGAAGCATACTCGTTCTGAGATTCAAGAATTACAGCCGTCTGTGGTTTGTGTTTTGCTCATCCCCAGAACTGGCCTTTCTTTTTCACAATGTAGTAAGAAACAAAACATAACAAAAAGGCAATACTGTCACGCGATCAGAGGCACCCCTTCTAAACCCTGAGTACAGAGTTTTCGAAGGCCTTTGGCAAGCAGCTTATGGGAGAATCGCTCCAGAAAGAGTGGGGTAGGTTCCTTTGCTCTTTCAACTAACTTTTTTTTTTTTACTGTTGGAGTAACTAGATTCCAGATCTTTTTTTTTTTTTTTTTTTTTTGACCTTCGTAGGAATTCAAGAAGAAAAAGTAAATTGGGAAGAGTTTTTTTTTTTTTTACTATAACATCCTGATCCTTTAAAAGACACCCCCCCCTCCTCAAGAAAGTTCAGGGTAGATAAGGGAGCTATGATCCCTGCACCACACAAAAGCGGCCGCAAGTCCATCCAGACCCGAATTATAGATTCCGGAGCTGGAAAGGTCTTTGCTAGAGCAGGCTCTGGAGAATGCATTGAGCTCCGGGAGTAGGGGAGATTGCCTAGCTTGGAAACCAGCAGTGGTGCTTTGGGCTTAAGCTGCCCCTGGGAAGATCTCCTCGGGCACCACCGTTATTCTGCACTACCGCTCTATCTCCAACTTTCCCCTTCCCTGCGGGCACAGAGTTGGCTGGCTGGGGACAGGCGAGGAGCTGGGTCTCCAACGAGCGCTTTTAAACACGACCCAGGGCTGTATTTCCCCCCCCACACACACACACCCCGCCTCCCCCGACAGCGATTCTTTCTTCCTCTTGGTTTTCAACCCAATCGTTAATCATTCGAAGCGCGAGGGCAGGGAGAGGAGAAGGGGGCGAGCTCCGAGTTAGCGGCCGTCGCCGCCGCGCGCGCGCTCAGGAAGCTGTGTGGCTGTGACCCCGCCCCCCCGCGCCCCCTTTTCCCCCCTCCTTCCTGCCCTTGCCCTCCCCCCTTCTCCTCCACCTCCTTGCTCTGCCGCCCGCGCCCAGTGTGTCTACTCCCTCCCCACGTCACTCGCCAGCGCGCCATGCAAATCACCGCCGCCGCCGGCTCCCATTGGCCGCGGCGCGCTCATTTAATGGCAGCCCGGGCCCGGCGTATGGCTGCTGGGCCCCCCGCGCCACCGGCCCCGCGTGTGCCTCCGCTCCGAGCGCACGGCCCCAGGCAAGCAGCAGACAGCTTGTCCTGCGTGCAGCGGCCCAGCTCTCTGGCTCTCTGCACGCGTTGGCACTCGCACCGCTGTCCCTAACCCCCTCCCTGGCTGCACGGTGATCGTCCCCTCCGAACCCCCCTTCGAGTCCCCCTCAGCGCCTGGCTCCCCCCAGGCACCTGGGACCAGCACATGCCCAGCGCACGCGGTGCGCCGCCCTGCTAGAAGTTGCGGCCCTGGAGTTGGAAGCCGCCTAGGAAGCCAGCACAGTAAAGAGACTTCGAGCAACCAAGAAGAGGCAACGAACTCGGTGTCGGGGCCCGGTGGCACCGCTTCAAACCCAGAAAGTGGAACCTCAACTTGGCCACGACTGCACCTGTTTGCACGCTCAGCTGAGAGCGCCCGGACTGCAGGAGCGGCAGCGGCGGCAGCGATGATCCCGGCCAACGGCCTCTTTGGCAAGTGATTTGTGCACCCAGAGAAACTTTCCACCTGCGAGCTGGACCCGCGCTAAGTGCGTGTGCTTTTGCCTCTTTTTTGTTGTTGCCTCCACCCAACCCCCTTCCCTCTGTTAGGCACCCCCCCCCGTCTCTCTGGGCTCTCTCCCCACCCACCCACCCCCACCCGGCCGTCTGTGCTCCAGGCCCTCTCTTTGCGGTGCCGGTGAACCCGCAAACCGCCCAGATGTACGGCATGATGATGGAGACCGACCTGCACTCGCCCGGCGGCGCCCAGGCGCCCACGAACCTCTCGGGCCCGGCCGGGGCGGGCGGGGGCGGTGGTGGGGGCGGGGGCGGCGGGGGCGGCGGGGGCGGCGGGGGCACCAAGGCCAACCAGGATCGGGTTAAGCGGCCCATGAACGCCTTCATGGTGTGGTCCCGCGGACAGAGGCGCAAGATGGCCCAGGAGAACCCCAAGATGCACAACTCGGAGATCAGCAAGCGCCTGGGGGCCGAATGGAAGGTCATGTCCGAGGCTGAGAAGCGGCCGTTCATCGACGAGGCCAAGCGACTACGCGCGCTGCACATGAAGGAGCACCCGGATTACAAGTACCGGCCGCGCCGTAAGACCAAGACGTTGCTCAAGAAGGACAAGTACTCGCTGGCCGGTGGGCTGCTGGCGGCCGGCGCAGGTGGCGGTGGCGCAGCCGTGGCCATGGGCGTGGGCGTGGGCGTCGGGGCGGCCGCGGTGGGCCAGCGCCTGGAGAGCCCGGGCGGCGCGGCTGGAGGCAGCTACGCCCACGTCAACGGCTGGGCCAACGGTGCCTACCCGGGCTCGGTAGCCGCGGCGGCTGCAGCCGCGGCCATGATGCAGGAGGCACAGCTAGCCTACGGGCAGCACCCAGGCGCGGGCGGCGCGCACCCTCACGCGCACCCGGCGCACCCTCACCCGCACCATCCGCACGCGCATCCTCACAACCCGCAGCCCATGCACCGCTACGACATGGGCGCACTGCAGTACAGCCCCATCTCCAACTCTCAGGGCTACATGAGCGCGTCGCCTTCGGGCTATGGTGGCATCCCCTACGGCGCCGCAGCAGCCGCCGCCGCCGCTGCTGGCGGTGCGCACCAGAACTCGGCTGTGGCGGCCGCGGCGGCTGCAGCGGCGGCATCGTCGGGTGCCCTCGGTGCCCTCGGCTCACTGGTCAAGTCAGAGCCCAGCGGCAGCCCGCCGGCCCCTGCTCACTCGCGGGCGCCGTGCCCCGGGGACCTGCGCGAGATGATCAGCATGTACCTGCCCGCAGGCGAGGGTGGAGACCCGGCGGCTGCAGCGGCTGCCGCGGCCCAAAGCCGACTGCACTCGCTGCCACAGCACTACCAGGGCGCGGGCGCGGGTGTCAACGGCACGGTGCCCCTGACGCATATCTAGCGCCGCGGGGACGCCGGGGACACTGCGGCTGGCTCGAGGCCGCCGACCCGGCGACGAAGAGCGTGAGGCCTGTGCCGGAGCCTCCAGAGCTCGACTTTGTACAGACGACTCCACGTTGCAGTAAAAAGACAGCTCTGGAGGTCGGAGCACCAGGTGACATCTGCCCTCTCTCTCACCTTTGCCGGGACTCCGAGGCGCTGACACCAGACTGGCGTCTTAGACTGAACTTTGGTGTTTTCACGAGACCTTTTGTACAGTATTTATCGTCCGCAGAGGAGGCACACAGCGTTTTCTCGGCTCGGGAGGACAAAAGACAAAACCCAGCGAGGCGATGCCAACTTTTGTATGACTGCCGGCACTGTAACTTTCTCCCGGGTTTCCTTCCCGCCGGCTCTTCTGCCTGAGGCCGAGTGACGGACCTCGAGCTGTTCTCACTTGTTATAAATGTAGTAAGGCAGATCCAAATATTTACAAGTTTTTTGTAGTTGTTACCGCTCTTTTGGGTTGGTTGGTTCATTTATACCGCGATCCCCTCTCAGACGGTGGAGATATATTCTGGGTTTTGTAAAACTCTGTATCCGAGCATTTCCATTTTTGTTTTGTTTTGTATTATTTCTTGTAAATGCGTTGTGACATTTTTATTTTAGGCGCTGCGGTAAGGGGGGGGGGAGAGGAGTCAGATTATGTACATAGCCTGCAAGTCTTTCATCTAAAAAAAGAAAAACAAAAAGAGACCCCCCCTTTCCAAAATGCATCAAAATTTGAATCAATACGTCCAAGAGAGAAAAGGCCGTTTCCCTATGAAATTGAAACGTGCTAATTTTATATGCATGATTTATGAGCTCAAAATACAATTAGCAATCTGTTGAAGGAGAAATTATCAATAGGGCCCAAGAGTAAGGGAGCCCCACCGAGCGAAGGGCAGCGTTTCAATGGCTTTATTCAGTGGGAAAAGAGGAAGCTAAACTCCAGAGATTATTCTGTAGAGTTGAAGTTAACACAGAAGGGAAGTAGCTACAAAGTACTTCCTAATAGTTTCGCAGTTTAACTGCCTGGCCCTGGCATTTTTTTTTTCTTTTTTCTTTTCTTTTTGCATTTCTTTGCTGTGGCTCTGCCCTTCCCCCTACTATAGCAGTTTTTGAGGCAGCTTGGTCCTGGTTGGAAGGAGAAAGGACGGTGCTCAATGATGGGACCGGTGGGACGAGGCCAAGGATGGGGGACAACGACCGCCACCAAGACAGTGTGCCTTTGATATCTCCGTAATTGGGATTGTAAGTGAAATTACCTTCCAGTGCTTCAAGGAAGCAATCCTGACCCAGAATGCACCACCACTGTCCCCTCACCCAGGTCCTACCCCAACACCTCCCCCTTCCTCTCTGGGAAAATGCAACGTAAATTTGCGGATTTTCTTACACACACACACACACACACACACACACCGCCCCCTCTCCTGTGTGAAATGGGATGCAGGTTGCTAGGGAATGTAAACACAGAATGCAGTGTTTATTATTCCTGACCAGATCTTGAGGTTGTTTGATGCTTTAAATGTTTTTAATTATATTTTTTCTAGGTGTTTATTGGTACATTGCAGGGTCTTTTTTTTTCCTGGAATTTAAAGTTTTCTGTAAAACTTTGTCTTCGAGTAATCTGACAGCATTAAATATTGCATTTAAAACTTGTACGCAGCAAACATGTTTTGAAATTAATCATGACATTAGGATGCAATTCTATTTTTTGAAGGAAATTTTCCTTAAGTCCAGGTGGAAAATGATACTAATTTCAGCATTCTTTCCCCTCATTTTCCCGCTTAGTTTCTTTTTTCTTTTTCTTCTTTCTTTTCTTTTCTTTCTTTTTTTTTTGAATGAATATGGACTAGCTATTCTAAAGTGGACTTACTCTACCGATTCAGTAAGACCTTAGCTCAGCCTACATTGGAGAATATCCTTCTGTATAAATGCTAATCTTACAAGTGACATGTATGATTTTTTTTTAAAAAAAAAGTAATTTTGATGATTTTGCTTAAACCCCTCATTTCTTAACCTGATTGCAAGAGATTCAGGAATGATGCTCACTGCTTTCTGATAAGGTAATAAAATGACACCCCCCTTTTCCCTTTCTTCATTTTAGGGTTTTTGCTCTGTTATTTCCAGAACTGGTTTACTTACTTAGGAGTCCAAGAGGGGAGCGCACTCAGGCAGTCAGGGAAAGAGCCCCCGTTCACCTCAGGGAACTTCTATGGGACTTTCAGGTCCAGCCCACCTTCCCCTTAATACACAAGGGACTTTGCTGACTGGCTCCCAACCACAGCAGCTTCAGTGGGAGGCAGGGGTAGCTACACTCACCTCTCTCAAGCCTGGGCTTCTGGGGTTCCTGTGCCTTGGCTATGGGCTCGCCATCACAGGAGTTATGGCCCACTTTAAGTGAAGCACACCACATAAAGGTAGTCATCTTGCAAATACTAGACAGCTCAGCCCCCTCATTCCTTGTATTTTGTGTTCCCTATTTGAGTTCCACCCAGTTAGCTGGAATTCTTTGTGCCAGGCCTCCAAGCCACCTTCCTTTGGCTTCTACTGACGTGAGAGACTAGGAGAAAGTCTCTAATGACTTAATTTGAAAACAAAGACAGAGGATTAGGGGGGCCTCCTCTCAAGATTGAAGCCAGATCTGGGCAGGCTCTCTCCAGTTAAAATAAGTGGAGATAATTTTCTCCTAGACCTTACTTACTTGGAGCCCAATTCAGGGCTAAATGCAGTTCCTAACCAAGCAACGCACATTTGTGTTCACGTGAGATTCTTTGTGGTCGTTTTCCCTTGATAATTCACTTCCAATGCCAGGGCTGTGTTCCGTTCTACTAGTGCGATTTTGTTTCCCATCTGTGGCGAGTGGGGCAGTATTTTGTGGCGGCTGGATAAAGTTTGCATAACTTTGTGTAGGGCACCTGAGTGGCTTCTAAACTCACCGGTAAACTAAGCAGTGTGATTTGCTTGACGGTCTCGTGCCCTCCCTCCCGCCCCCCCCCGTCTGCCCTCTCTCCTCTCCCTCCTTCCCTCTCTCCTCTTCCCCTTTCTTTCTTCCTCACTTAAAAAAAAAACTCACTGCCCCGTTTTTATTGTTGCCACCGAGACTTTGACACCCTCCTTCAAACCCACCAGTAGGCAGATGAAACGAATTAATTTTTTTTAAAGGAGTTGCGGGCACAGCGCGCCTGATCTGCAGATGTGTCGGGATGTGACTGATAGGTCTATTAAAATCATGCGTGTGGGAGAAGAATAACACTCATATTCACGCATTTCATTCTCCCCCCCCCCCCCAACAAAGACTGGGCACTGCCACACTCTGTCTCCGGAAAATTCCAGTCAATTCGAAAAGCCCTCTCCAGCACACTTGCTCTGGGGACGCAGGAAAGCCAGCTCGGTCCAGCCAGGGTCCAGCACCGCTGGCTCAGGCCCCTGCGCTTTTCTGGTCACGCCTCCTCCCGACCCAGCTTCCGCAGCGGGTGTCCGGGAGCCGGCGGTGGAATCCAACCCTAGGTTAGAGTCCTGGGAAAGTTCAGGAAAAAAGCAGACTTGGCCTTGGCGCAGGAACTAGTTGGCGGGATGGAGAGGCTCCGGCGGATAGGGGGGAGGATACTGCGCAGGCCCCCGGGGAGAAAGCGCCAGAGTCCTTCTGCGCGGGGTGGCGGGTGGACTGGCAGCAGCCAGGCTGCCTCTTGGGCTAGAGGCTGGGGCGCCACACCCCTCCCTCTCCTACTGCCCTCCTCCGCCCCCTCGCCCTCCCCCTTCCTCCGCTAGGCCCTTCACCTCCAGCTGCGCCCTGCAGGACCTGGCTTCACCCACCCCCAGAACCAACCAGCGGGCAGTGCGGCCAGTGACAGCGCCCTGCGTCCCTGTTGTAGCCAGGATCCCACGTGCTCGAGCCGGGACTTCTGCACTCTGCCTCCCGTGTCCCAAGTCAGGCTTCTGTGGTTCTGCTCCCAGCTGCATCCCGCACCAAGCTCGCTCTTCTCCCACGTCCTTCTCTACACCCTCTGGTCCACCACTTCTCCCCTTCCCGTCCTTTCTTCTAGCCCTCCGTCTGCAGCCTCTGTTCTTGCCGGGCTTCCCTCGACGCGCTGACAGGCCCTCCCTTTGTCTTAACTCGCGGTCCGCTTCCCGCCTCTGAGCCCCCTCTCCTCTCCCCACGTACACTCTCCGGCATAGCTGCCCCATCGGAGGCGCAGGTTCAGAGCGATCCACCCCCTCTTCGAGTTCGCCCATCCTTGCGGGGGTAGCAAGTATGGGCTTGGCACCCACCTTGCTCACATCCACGCTTGCCCGGAGGCCTTTAGGGGAATTAAGAGAGGAGGGTTTGCGCTAGACTACAGGATTACAGTGGAGAAAGTTCTGATTTGGGGTCAGGCTCAAGCCAAACCCTTTCACAATCAGTGGGGGAACCAAACAGGTCCCAGGCGAGGCCGCAACAAGTGGGCACAGAGTGGGGGAGGGGAGTCAGGGTCTCCTGGAAAGCAGGGGCAAGGAAGAGGCAGAGTGGCCCTCCTCGCAGCAGAACTAGGCCCTGGGCTGCAGCAGTCACAGGCGAGATCGTTTGTGGGCCTAGACAACGACGAGATGCCTTCAAAGGTATCGATCTCAAGGAAATGTCTGCTCTGACCAAGTCTGGGGGTTCGCTTGCATGCTGCTCTTTGGCATTCGAGTCTAAGGAAAGCTGCATAGGCCTCTGCCTAAGAAGCAGAGGCTTTATAAACACAGCTCAGCATATTTAAGCAGCAATAAATAAGTGAATACAAAATTAAGACCAAGTTCTTGAGAGCTGGGGTGAGCGGTCTGTTCATGAACCCGGGCCTCATCTTAGACTCTTGGCAGCCCTTCGCTCCATCTCTTTGGGAGCTGTGGGTGAGGTGCTGTTGAAATGCCTTAGGGCTGCGGTTTCTGTTGCTGGACCTGGTTCTCTACACGGGGTGAGGGAAATACCAATGGGCAAAATGCGCTGTTTGTTTAGAC